TGGTCGAGAGTTTTTGTGAATTAACACGAACTACGCTGAATTAGAACTAGGTATACATTAGACCGCTGTGTCCTACTTACCACATACAGATGGTGAGTTAGTCCCGTCCCCACAGAACGGTATTTCCCTACAGGTATCAGACCAGGAAATGCACGATCCATCAAGACAATGAAATTTTAAGGGACATGGAACACCTGAAAAGCAAATCTTTGAATTAAGTCATGCGAATACAAATACTGCGGAAAAACAGACTAAAGAAAAAAATGTTATCATCGCTGGCCAGACTTAACGACTTTCTTAGCTAAACCGATCAGAAAAAAATCACTCTTTAGTCTGAGATGACCATAAAGGCTAAGAGAAAACTACCGTGATGTCCTTATCATTGTGCAGTCATGAACTTACGACAATTATTTTCATCATCTCCGTCTGAGCAATTGTTGCTACCGTCGCACACAGCTGCAGCAGGAATACATTTTCCATCCTGGCAAGCAAACTTATTGGAGGGACAGCCACAGTTCTCCTCGTCCGATTCATCTTTACACGCGAGATCACCATCACATGTTAAATCGTTTTTGACACATTCCCCATTGTAACACCGAAACTCTTTTTCGCCACATTGAAAACCTAAAAAAACTCGGCAAAATAAGTTTCTATTTCATTTTCCTTTCTTTAAAAGTGAAAAGCCATAAAGAGATAGAACTAAGGGCGGAAACTTTGTTACACTTCTATGAGAGAATCTGACAAACAATGCACTATTATCCAACACTGATTACTTAAAAAAAGGTTGGAACTGAACCTTACATGAAATTAAGAGATCCTCCTAAGAACACTACTGAAACGAGTAGTTGTAAATAGGAAAAAATTCAGGCCCGTACGGGATTTGAACCCATGACCTTTGCGATACCGGTGCAGCGCTCTACCAATTTAGCCAACAAGCCAACTGGGAGCTGGTATATGAATTGGGTCCAAATAAACATCCAAGTGAATGATGATTTTAGATATATGAAAATTCATATATTTGCTCTGCGGTGGAGAGATGAAATTAAGAGATCCTCGCAGCTAAGAACACTACCGAAACGAGTAGTTGTAAATAGGACCTGAAAAGCTCCCAGCTCCCAGTTGGCTTGTTAGCTCAATTGGTAGAGTGCTGCACCGGTATCGTCATGGGTTCAAATCCCGTACGGGCTTGAATTTTTCTCAGGTCTTATTTACAACTACTCGTTTCAGTAGTGTTCTTAGCTGCGAGGATCTCTTATTTTCATCTCTCCACCGCAGTGCATGAATTTTCATATATCTAAAATCATGAACCTTACATGTTTGCTTTGGTTGCTATTGTGATAACCAGCCTACCAATAATTTTGGAAAATTCAAATGATCGGTAAGCTCCTTATTCGTAATTATAGAGACGAAAAGGGAGAGCGGAAAGAAAAAGTCACCTGGCTTCGCAAAGTAAGGTAGTAAAATACAG